AGGGAAAAAATAGTAAGATCTGGAACTCCAGTGAATGAATATAAATAAATAAATAAATTTAAGGGAAAATAAGAGATATGGAACTCCTAGTTCAAAGGTACATACAGTTTAAATGTATTTTTTTTTAAAAAAATACTAGATTGGCCTCTGCTAAACTGCTACTTTTTATTTCTGCTAATTATATAGTGTTTTAATGATATGCCTACCGAAACTTAAAATGAATAAGTTAAACATTTTGCCAATCTCATAGGTGAAAGAGAATGTCATTTCTATGTTGATTACTAGTGAGGTAAAGAATATTTACATTTCCTCATGCTTTTGTTTTTTCTTTTTCTTTTTTTCTTTTAAATTTTGCTATAGGGCATGGGTGCTTGCCAGAGAGAGAGAAAGTGAGAAATCACCTCTTGGGATTTGGGGCATGCACACATGCCTGGCATGTTTTCAAACTGCTGGTCCAGGACTCAAACTGCAGAATTGGCCATATGGGATCCGGCACCTTAACCACCATGCCACCTGCTGGCCCAGACTTCCTTTCTTTCTTTTTCTTTCTTTCTGAGAGATTTTTCTCCTATAAAGTGTGCACTAGCCAGGGAGACAGAGAAACAGAAAGCAAGAAATCACCCCCCAAAGGGGATGGCCATGCAGTAATCCCTTCTGTGGAAAGTGGCCATTCTGATGTGAACACACTAGCTGTGTGCTGTTATCGATACTGCAGAGCGGGATCAGGTTAAAGGAAGTCACATGTGCTTATCAGAATCAGCCCCGAAAGATCAAACAAATCACGTGGCGCCAGTCATTCTCATCATCAGCTGATTAATATCTGAAAACAACTGGCTTTGCATTCCATTTCCTCTTCCCCCACTTTCTGCCCTTATAAAGTAATAAACCTGAGCCTGGTTCGGGGTCACGGCTTTCTCCATCAGCGAAGTCGGGCCCCCTCGATCATTGCTTTGCTATATTTGTATGTCTGTGTGTTTATTTTATATTTATTTCCAATCCACAGGCCCCCCAACCCCGGAAAAAAAGAAAAAAAAAACCACGTTCTGGTGAGCAGGTCCTGGCAAAGTCCTGAATGTGTGGCCTGAGCAAGGACGAAGAGGCGAGTGGACCCTCCTTGAGGCCGGCCAGAGAGAACTGAGTAAGGTGAGAAACCTATAGAATAAAATAAAGAATATATATATAGAAGAAAATAAAGAATAAATAGAGTCAAAGAAGGAGATAACAAAGTAGAAGAAATAACAGTGGAAAAAGGAGATAGCAGAGTAAAACAAGCAGATACTGGAGTAAGAGGAGGAGTGGATTCGATTATTGTCGGGCGTAAGACATGGGGACGCAGTTGTCTAAAGAGAGAAACGTGTATGGCCACGTGTTGTTTTCTGTGTTAAAACCTGAGGGCGATCAAGTTGGGACAAGCAGTTACATCAGTTCCTGAATTTTGTGCAGGGAACATGCCCTTGGTTCCCAGAGCAAGGAACAGTTTATGAGGAGACCTGGGACAGGCCGGAGAACAGATCAGGGAACGACATACAACAGAGGGTCCTAGCAGGACTCCCATTTTTGCCTTCTCCCTGTGGAATTTAGTTAAGGAGTGTTTGAGACAAAGCCCTCTGGAAAAACTGGAAGCTGGCTTAGTAACTGACTAGCAAACATTCTGGAGGGCCATACCTCCCTCCTACCTAAGAAATCAGAGTCTGTAACTAAAGACAAGGAGAGAGAGGAGAGACCTGGTAAAGAAAACGAGTCTTTTTGAAGTTAGATAGACTTAAGATTGCAGATTCCAAAGCCGCAGCAGGAAGGGAGAACTGGCCGCTGCCCTTTGGCCTAGCACTCCCCCCACCCGCTGCTTCCCAGTCAAAACCTGCTTGTGTATCAAATGGATCTAGGACAGAAGGAACAGCTCCTACTTTAACTCCCCTCCAGAGAGATTTGCATTGCTCTGTAGACAGAGAGGAAACTCTGGGATTTAAATCGTGTTTCACTATAAAGACTCCCGACCCTGACTACCCAGAACAGAATCAGCGTCAGCATGAGCCGACATCCTTTAAAACTCTGAAAGAATTAAGAATGGCTCGCACACAATTTGGTGCCGTGGCACCTGTACAATTGTGGTATTAGAGACGGCTACTTGATTTGCGTTTACCCTCACGATTGGCAAGTGTTAGGCAAGACATGCTTATCGGGAGGAGATTATCTTTTGTGGATCTGACTGGTCCGAGGGAGCCCAAGAGCAGGCAGATAAGACATACAACATAAAGTACCTATCACATTTGAAATGTTG